GTTTATTATATATACCTAATACTTGAATAAATTTAATATTATAATTATTTATTTGCTCATAATTTTTTTATTTAAAAGTTTAAAAAAAAAAAAAAAAAAAGTTGATGAGATCTTATTGCCATCTAACTAATTAAGTCACAAGGGGACAGTAACAAGACTAAAAAATCAGAAATTGTATCATTAAAATTATTTTTCTTTTAATATTATATATTTTATTAAATTACCTTTAAAAATTATTTTCCTTTTTTTATATGCACGAATAAAAAGTAATTCGATATTTAAAAAAAATTTATATTAATAAATCGATATATAAAGCTAAAAAAAAATCAAATCAATTAATCATTTATGTATAAAATTTATTTTTTTATAAATTATTTATTTTGTTGTTCTAGAACAACAGGTGGAAATACGAGGAACCATCAAATACATTTGAATTTTTTTTAAATATAAAAATGAAACTAATTTCACGTTTAAAAGAAAAAAAAAAATTTAAAGGAAAAATATTGAAAGGATATTTTAAGCCCCCCCCCCATGACAAACAACGTGATCGTCTCCACAGTAGATTTTCTCCTGCAGATTTCTTTTCAAATTAAAAAAAAAAAAAAAAAATTTATTCCAAACCTATTCTATCTCGACATAAAAAAAAATTTAAATTTTTTCCTTTTTATTTATTTATCTAATAAAAATATTTATTTTGATTGTACGAATTTAAAAATAAAGTTTTTTAACGGAGTAAATTAAAGTTTTTCTTTTCTTTTCTTTTCTTTTGACTTTTTGGAAACGCTAAGAAAAGAAAAGAAAAGAAAAATTTTACTCGAAAAAAGGGAAAAAAAAATAACTAAGGCATGGTTTTAAATTGAAACCCCGCAGACTCAAGAATTGCATTTGATCAAATGCTGATTAATGAAACCCTTTTTTCAAGTAAAAACATTATTTTTCATATGTGACGTCACGGGCATAACGGCGCCACTTGTTTGCTGGCCGCTCCTTCCCTAATTGTCTGGCTTCTTTCCTTTCCTTTCCTTTTTTTTTTTTTT